TAAAATAGGTCTGCATTTCGCCATAGGCTTCTCTCTACACATTTTAGTCAAAAAGCTTTGAAGTAATTTTAATAGTGTATCTTGGGCAAATATAAAAGTAGCATTGATTTTTAATCTAAACAAAAGACAAAAGTGGGGGAGAAACTGGTTTTTCTTTCACTTTCATCTCCTAAAAGCAAGACTCCTAACATATCTCAAGGCACAGAATGAACAAGGAGGAAAAAGATGAAAAACTCAGGGGAGAGGAGAATACAAACGTATCCCCTTCTATATGCATAAACCCAGTCACACTGAGAGTATTAAGTGCTGGGATTCTGCAATTTGGGCCGTGTGTATTGTGAAGAATGACTAAGAGGAATTCATCACGTTATGCATAATATAGTTAAAAGAAAAATTGAGGAGCCGACCTCCAGATGAGCAAAATGGAAAGGTCTGGAATTTCTAATTAAAAGGGATTTAGTGTGTACTCAGTGTTGGACTGTGTTGATTGAAGACAAGCATTAATGAAACAGAGACCAAATTTTACTTTTTTTTTTTTAAGAAATTTTATTGGGGAACAGTGTGTTTTTCCAGGACCTATCAGCTCCAAGTCAAGTAGTTGTCTTCAATCTAGTTGCGGGGGGCACAGCCCACCATCTCATGGTGGAATCAAACCGGCAACCTTGTTAAAAGCACTCACTCCAACCAACTGAGCCACCTGGCCGCCCCTTTTGATTTTTAAAACTTGCTCAGGACAATCTATTTCATTTTTTTAAGTTGTTTGTTTGTTTGTTTGTTTTTTAATTTATTTTATGGAACCCGACAGCCAATTACAATATGGAAAACCTGTTTCATCCACATCATGGAGCCAATCAGCTCCTGTGTTTAATGTTGCTGAGATTCCCAACGCCAGGCTGCCTTCTTGCTTGCATAGATTTTTCCTGTTCCTTCTAATGACCTTTGCTTTCAACAGCTTCACCTTGGTTCATTTTACACCCAGCCAGGGGTCATCCTTGGTTTTCATCATCATCTACATCTCCTGTTAGTGTGCTAGGGCTCCCTCAGGCAGCCTCTATTCCAGGGGTCGGCAAACTTTTGAGACGGAAGAGCCAATTCTGTCCCTTACAACAATTTAAAAATTGTTCGAGAGCCATAAATATATTTTTACAAATAAGGGAAATTTAAAAATCTTTGAAAAATGTTATCAATGAAACTATGATACTTTTATTTTCATTTTCAATTTTACTTCAGAGCCACATGTGCATGCCCAAAGAGCCGCATGTGGTTTTCAAGCCACCATTTGCTGACCCCTGCTCTATTCAATCAGTCCCTGGGGCACAACTCAAAGAAATGGGCACTCACCCCACCTGGGCACTGAAACAGCCCATGGCGAGAGCTCAGGGCTGCCCATCTGGCACCAAGCGGAGGAGTTCCAAGTGTGAGCCACATCTAAACAGGCCCAGGAGCAGCCTCTAAACGCGAGGCAAGTCAGTGGAGAGGACATGATAGCAGTGGTTTAGTTAGCACTAGATATGGGGTCTTCTGAGCAACTGTGGGAGGCTTGCTCATTATTAATATTTTGTGTTATACCTATAATTATAAAGGTTTCTTTCTTAAAGAGTGGTAATGCTTGCATACCTGCCAGTTATTCATTTTAGTGGGAAACCGAGTCACAAAGGGGCAGGTGTCCACATGGTGGCAATTACGCTATAGCCTGAGTTTGACTGGTTTTAGAGAATAGAACAGCCCTTTTCTGTGGGCTGGGTCTGTTTGCTGCTTCTTTGTGTGCCGCCCTCACTAGAGTGGAAGCTCCTTAAAAACAAGAGCCAAGTATGTTTTGCTGTCATTACCTTAGTGGTTCCAGGCATATAGAGACACGTCATAAATGTTTGTTGAAAGAGAGGAAAGGAGGGAGGGAGGGAAGAAAGAACATCATCCAAACCTGGCAAATTTTTACGACAGATGAGCTTTGATTCCATGATGCAATACCTAGCCCTTGTTTCCACACTTCCGGTAGCCTTAATCATTTCCGGCACTGACCTCCCACCTGCCTTCCTCCCTATATTCCCTCTCTCTAGCATCTTCTTCAAACTCGAGCTGTTGAAATGTGCAGTCTGAGGAGTCAACTAGCTAATGAACAAATTAGTCCATGATGTCAGCAGAAAGCCAGGAGAACTTTCTGGTAATAAGGGCACTTTTGGGAGTCTTACGGAGACCATGGACACTTCTTATTTGCTGTCAGAGCCTTTAGTGACTCTCGCTTTGCCTGTTTCTGACTAGCCGAGGGGTCCATCCCAGTAACTATGACCTCTGTAATGTAGCAGGGCCCCGGTGCAGGGTGACCCCTTTGGGACTGAGAGCATCCCCCAGGGTATTCGATGTGGCTGCTCTTGTGCATTTTAGCATTTCCTTTAAGCTGAAGAGGAAAATACAGGAAGAAATAGGATAATATACAGAGGGTGCCAAAAAAATGTATACACATTTTAAGAAAGGAAAAAAACTATTAAAATTGTAATACTCAATATATACCAATAACAAAAGATGAATACAAGTCACGTGTGACTTCTGCAATTCCAAGAGGTGCTCAAAGTGGTTACCATCAGCATCCAGACCTTCTGATTACTGCGAACTACTGCTTGAGCAACATTGACCAAAGTGTCCACTTGTATACATTTTTTTGGCACTCCAGTAGTTCATTAAGTTAAAAATGGCAGAAGACTCAGCAGAGGAGTTCAGATTCTGGCCCTAATACAGATGTCGCAAAGAACCATTTTTGTCCCCATATTCCTTGTAGGGAAACTTCTCCCTGTGTTGAGATGTACCTGGGCAATGGAGATTGAGATGTAGAATTGCTAGACTGAATTAAGGTGTGTCCAGTCCTTTTTGTTTATGTTGTTGTTTTGTTTGTTTTAAAACCACTGTTAGAATTGATTTCTTTCCCTTAATCTTTGTGATCTCTTTTCCAAGGGTTTAGGTTGCATATGCCTAACTTTAGTCTACATGTCTTCATATTAATGTTGAGAGGAGTAAGAAAACCAATATTTATAGACTTTAACCATATGTGTTCTCATTTAATATTCAAAACAGCTCACTGAAGTCTGTGCCCTGAGTCTTGTTTCACAGATTAGGACTCTGAGACCTAAGAGGCTAAGACCTTTCCTTGCTCAAGGTCACAAGCTAATAAATGCAAATCTGGGTTTTGACCTCAGATTTCTCTGCTAGACCTGCAGACACTGTTCTAATTCTGTTTTTTCTCTTACAAAGTTTCCCGAATTTTAAATCGTATGACATTTGACTCTGCCCAGATCACCCGAGTAATGCATGCTCTTTCGCTTCACCGTTCTGAATTTCTAAATGTTTTATCTTTAGACATCTGTAGTCATATCTTTGATAACAAGGACTTTGGTATCATTTGCGATAGTTTTTAAGTGTTTATAATATTCAATAGCAAGGTCCCCAAAGATCTATCAAAATTGGACTTGACTAAAAAACTTGTAATACAAATAAGAAATGTGTGCATATGGCAGTGCACGGGCTGGAACAGAAGTGGTAAAGTTAAGAAAAATTATTCTGTATCAGGAAGAAGAGAAGTTCATCTTTTAAAGGTTAAAATGACTCAGTGTGAAAATACAGCACAACTAACATTTTATAATTGCTCAAATATTCTTTCCTCTTTGCGAGGTGATGGAGATGCTTCTTTCCTTTAAAAAGGTGCAAAATGAATTTTCCCAAAGTAAAGTCTAAATTAAAATCTCCTATTTTGAGCATATGGCTAAACTCATCTTTACCACTACTTGGTTGCCATCCAAACAAAACGAAAAAAGGCAAAAGGAGGCAAGCTTTTTAGTGCCACCTACCGTTAGAAAGTGTAATGGCCTGCTAAGTACAAAGAGGAATCACTGGCATAGAGCACCTCAGCTATGGATAGTGGGACCATAGGTAGGGTACAGACTGTTCCTGTTGACTTGGCATCCATCCAGTTTAGCATTTGTCCTGGCCCTTTTTCTTTTAAAACTCTGACCTGGACGACAAGTTACATGGCTATTACTGGCTCTTCCCATACATCATGTAAAATACTCAAGTTCGTCTTACCTCTCCCACCTAAAGGTACAGACACACTTCTTCAATCTGAGCCCGCCTCCCAGCTCCAATCTTTCTTTCCCGTCTTTACAACCAAGTTTCTTGGGAAGGTAACCCATACACCACTTCTATTGGGTTGTCAGAAAAGTCATGACACATTTTTGCAATGAAAAACATGGGAAAAAATACGTCATGACTTTTCTGACAACCCAATACGTCATTTCTTCTATTCCTTCCTCAACTCACAGTACCCTCCCTTTTGTCTTAACTACTCCTGAAAACCGCTAGTTACCTACCAACCATCAAATTGGTAGACACTTTTCTGTCTCTGCCTTAGTCCGTTTGGGCTCCTATAACGAAGTACCACAGACTGGGTGGCTTAGAAACAACAGACATTTATTTCTCACAGTTCTGGAGGCTGGAAGTCCAAGATCAGGGTGCCAGCATGGCTGGGGGCTTCCGGGTTGCAGACAGCCAGCTTCATGTTGTACACATCAGTAAAAGAGAATGACCTAGCTCTCTGGCCTCTTCTTATAAGGTCACTCATCCCACCTAGGGGCTCCACCCTCATGATGTCAGCACCTCCCAAAGGCCCCACTCCTCCTAATACTATCACATTGGGGGTTAGGTTTCAACATGTGAATTTGGGGGGACACGTTCAGAACTTCATACACTGCACTGTACCTCATTGCTCGTTCTCCCTTCCCGTCTCACCTCTTGTCTTCTCTGACACCTTCTCCTGTTTTCCTCCTGTGTTCTGGCTTCTTCTCAGCATCCTTCATCATTTCCTCTTCCTCTGTTTGCACCTAAATGCTCGTGCCTCTGTTTGTCTTTACTCTGCATGCTATCCCTAGGTAACCACACCCCATGAATTCTACTGCAATCAACTTGATAAAGATTCCCAAATTCATTCATTTATTCATTCTTCTTTTTTTTTCAAGAAATATTGCTGGAGCACCTATAAAGTGCCGGTCCTGCCCCAGGTCCTGGGCTGTATCTGTGAACAGAATGGAATGGGGGAAGTACCGACTCTATGTGGGTAGTAAGACATAAAACTATAAACAAAATCAATAAGCGAACTGGACAGTATGCTGGAGGGTGATGGTGACGCAGAATAGTGTGATGGAGGTTGGGGGCCGTGCAGATTTTGGTGGAATAAACAGGGAAGGCTTCACCGAGAAGGTAACATTTAGCCGACTGGAAGGAGGAGGAGTGAGTCGTGAAGAATCTGGAGGAAGAACAGAAGGAACAAACAGTGTAAGCATCCTGAGGCCAGACTGTCATATTCAAGGGATGGCAGAGAGGCCAGTACGGCTCTGGAACCAAGTGAAGGAGGGGCAGGGTAGTAGGGTGTGAGGTTGGAGAGTACAGGGCTCCAGGTAGCACAGGGCCTCTAGGGACTTTGGTTTCCCTGGAGTGAACTGAGAGCCATTGCAGGGTTTTAGGTTGAGAAATGCCATAGTCTGATTTACGTGTTAATGCGGTCACGGCCTTAGGTCAGGTTTCTGGGGAAGCAGATTCTGAACTCAGGTGTGTACAGGAGGTTTCCTGGGGACACCTGGGAGGGAGTGAAGGAAACAGAATTTTAGAGGAAGAAGTAGAACTGTGTTGCACTTGCAGCCGAGGCCAGGCAAGGTCTCTTCAGAGTTCTTCTAGTTGCCTCAGGGGAGAGAGATGTGCCCTTGAGCAATTCCCAGAAAGAGATTTAATGAGAAGTCGTCACAGTCATACTCTCCATCCTGGAGGGAGAACTGGCTGGTGCACAGCATCTCCTCAACCCACCCTGGCACTTCCCACACAGACCTAGTCCATTTAGGGAGCGTCAGCAAACACTCCCCCATCTTCCACGTGGTCCGTCCTGCTGCACCGTGTCTGCTTGTTTCAAGGTGCTAGTGACACTCATCATCTCCCCCCTCTGCTGGCCTCGGTAGATTTCCCTCACCCCCTGGGCAGTCCTTCTCCACACAGCGATGGAGCGTTCTGCTAACACAGAAGTCGGATCTTGGTACTCCTCTGCCCCAAACCAGCAACTGACTACTCTCCAATTCATTTCAGAGTAAAAGCCAAAATCCTTATCACAATTTATACCATATTCTTGCTCGAGACTCTGTCTCTAACCTCATTTTTTTCTGTTATTCTCCTCCTTGTCACCCTGCTCCTGTTAAACTAGCCTCCACTAACATTTTGTGGGACGATTGGCAGTATCTATTGTATTTTCCTGCTCTTCTTGGAGAAGCCCTGAACAATTAGGATACTCAAAATACAAGAGCTAAGATGCTTAAGACTGAGATGTTGAGTTCCAGCTGGTGGTGTAAAAGGTTGTCCTCAAAAGATTATCAGATAGCCACATTGCAGGCACTTAAATGAAAAGAATTCCATTATTGGCTATAAAAGATAGAGAAGTAATTATTTAAATAGCGCACTTTACCTGGAAAAGGATGCCAGCAGTCCTGAAACCCTTGAAAAAAAATGTCTGAGTGGTTTTAAAAGTTTCCTAACTATTAACCAAAAAGGTTGATAGTTGTGTAAGTGAGTAGGCAAGATGGCTTCCTTTAGGAAAAAAGTGAATGATTGAGAGCTACAGAGAAACATTAATGATAAAGAATTAGAAGAATTTAAAAAATAAAAACCTTTCTACTGAACTGCATACATAAAACCATACATACTATACATTTTAGGCTGTTTAAGAGATTTTCAAGGGCAATTTTGACTTCACTGGTTGGTAAGTAAGAATTGGACCCTGTACTGGAAAGAGGAAACCAGCAAGAACTGGCCCTCATGAGGAGATGAGCAGACCCTTGGAAGTGGCCATGAGGGGGCAAGGGCCTAAGGCAAGAGACGGCCTGTAGGGTAACTTTTGGTGAACACAGGGGGAACAATTATATCTTATATCTAGTTTAAAATCTTCCTTCCTTTATTGCATTTTCTTAGCCTAAATCCTTAATAAAGTCTGTTAATGTGACAGCCATGTTTTAGCTGTGATTTGGGGGATAAAGAGAGGTACTATGTCCATGTTTGGGGTGGAAGCAGATGGAGCAGAAGTGGCCTAAAGAAATCCTTACAGCTGAAGGGGTTGATGGAGAAAATTAGAGCAGCAGTCTGGAACAAAAGGTGACAAGTGACAGTAATGAACTTCTGCAAAAGCAAACACCCTTGGGACATTCGTAGATATTTAGGGAGGGGACTATAGTTTCTGGAGCTACACAGGTTAAGGGCACAGATTGCCTTTTGGAGGGTTAAAAGGAGGGTGCTCCTTCCTTCCAATCACCAGAAAAGTAGAGAATTGGGAAAATTCAGGATATGTGTACAAGAAGAAATAACTATGCTAAAGTGGTTAAATCTGAAGAGAAAGATTGGGGTGGACTGAAGGAGGATTCTAACATTATGTCTTGTTTACACATGTGTTACTTGAGTTTATTATGATAAGCAGACACTAGTTTTTTTAATTAAACATAAAATTCAGGGAGAAGGTCAATAACTATGAAAAATGATTATTAGATTCATCAGAAATAATATATTTATGTGAAATAAATGGGGGAGAGACTTGCCCTCTGGATTACAAAATATTATAAAACTACAATCATCAAAGTATTGTGCTGATATAAGGATGGATTAATGCAAAATATGGCTCAGAAACAAACACTATTATGTGTAAAAAGTTTAATCTACTAAGGTGACATCATAAAGTAACTTGGAAATAATGTCCAGGGATAATAGATAGCTATACGGAAAAAATAAATCTATTTAGGAGATCCTCACATCACACCATATTCCAAAATAAATTACAGATGGGTTGAAAAGTTAAATCAAACAAATAAGAGTATTGATCAGATCTGATGATCAGGAACATCCTAAAATACAGAAAAAAAATATATTGATGATTTAAATTCACAAAAATGTTAAATGTTTTTGTGTCCAAAAAGTCATAAAATTAAAAAGCAAGAAAATTGAGGAAAATATTTTCAACAAATACAAATGTAAAGGATTAATATCCTTAATATATAAAGAGCCTATACAAATGGATAAAAGGTAAAACACACAGATAATTTATTGTACAAAAGAAGAAATAGAAACAGCTAATAAAATATTCAATATCATTAATGAAAAGAATATTTTGTCCTTTAAATTAGGAATTTCTTTAAATGCTAGGGTAGGTAGGATGAAATAAAAGTTACTTGTTGAAGGCAGACATACACATTAATGCAATGCCAGAATGAACAAAGAGGCTTAAAATAATATTTAAAAAGGAAATCATCTAAAATTTGGCACAGAAGTGCCAAAATTCCTTATTATAGTGGAAAATTTGAAACACCCTATATGTCCAATAATAGGAGACCAGGTAAGAAAGTATAGTGTTGGGCCGGCAGAGTGGCGCGTTGGTTAAGACCTGGCTTGGGACGCCAGAAGGCCCCGATTCGGATCCCATATATGATGGCCAGTGACGCTGCCCTCTACAGCTAAGATGCTGAACAACAGCTTAACCTGGAGCTGGGCTGCCATGAGTCGCCGGCAACGGCGTAGGCTGCAGCCTCTGCTGCAGTGGATTGTCATGGGCCACCATGTGTAGCCAGCAGCCAGCGTGAGCGGCCAGCAGCCGCCCTGAGCGGCCGTCCAGAAGCCGACGACTGATCTGCCTCGCCCGGGAAGAGCACAATGATGGTGCCAACTTGGGCCAGTGAAGCAACGTCCTCCACAACTAGACTGAAGAACAAAAGGACAGCAACTTGTCTGTTCTCCCTCCCCTAATTCCCCAGCGCTGTTCCCATCCCCCAATTCCCCAATTTTTTTTAAAAAAATGGTATAGTGTGGACAAATGATTAAATGATTAAAAGTTATATTTTCTAAGATTACTAATTAAATGTGAAAATGCTTCTGTTGGGACGGCCGAGTGGCGCATTGGTTAAGAGTTGGCTTGGGATGCCAGCTCTGAGCAGCAGGGCCCCGGTTCGGATCCCACATGAGGGCCAGTGGCGATGCACCCTCTACAGCTAAGATGGTGAACAACAGCTCAACCTGGAGCTGGGCTGCCATGAGTCACCAGCAATGTCATAGGCTGCAGCCCTTGCTGCAGTGGGCTGTGATGAGCTACCGTGAGTGGCTGGCAGCCTGCGTGAGCAGCTGTCCAGTGGCTGGTGACCCATCTGCCTCACCCGGGAAGAGCGCAATGATAATACCAACATGGGCCAGTGAAGCGACATCCTCCACAACTAGACTGAAGAACAAAAGGACAGCAACTTGTCTGTTCCCCTTCCCCGATTCCCCGACACTGTTCCCTCCCCCAAGTCCCCAATAAAATCTTTAAAAATAAAAGAAAATGCTTCTGTTGTATGTTAGGTGAAAATAAATGGATATAAATTCATATGATTGCAAATATTTTTTTAAATAGGAAAAGTAATATATGATTTCATTTGGTGTGATTTAGTTGCTTTATATTCTCCTATATTTTCCAAATTCCTTTTTATAATCATGCATTACTTTTGTAATCAGAAACAAAACAAATTCCCCTCTCTCCCCCTTCCCCAGAGCTTTCAGGATACAATCCAAATTCCTTAGCACAGCATACGACCTTGATCTGGCCTCTACCTTTGTTCAGCTGTCACCATTCCCCAGCCCTAACTTCCCTAAGGTCATATCAAATTGCTTGCATTTCTCTAATTACCATGCCATCACTATCTCGAATTTGTTTTTATTATTTATTTTTGCCTGGGGTGCTCTTGAGTGCTCTTCTCACCCTCCAGCCTTAACTGGCCTCTGATTTCAAGGCACAGCCCCGTGCTTTCAAGGGGAAGCCTCTTCTGGGGCACCTTAGTGGGGGCGGAGGGCGACACCTCCTGCTTTCTGCTGCCATAACACTGTGGTTCCTTTCTCACAGCACTTATCACACTGAATTGCAATCGGGGTGACCAACCATCCTAGTTGGTCTCTCCGTAATTCTAATTCTTTGTTAACTTGTTCACATCTTAGACTCTGAGTACCTTGACTCTGCACACTGTATCATCTTCAGGTTTTGAAACTTTCTTCTTTCCACTGTACATATTGTGTCTCTTATGATCTTTATCCACCTTAGTCTTGAGTGTATTAGGGGATAGGAGATAAGCAAATGGAAGGGTCACTGGTCCTATGAACAAGTGATATACAAAGGTCTGACAATTAAGTTGGAGAACTTGTTGCAACAATGTTGCTAACCTTTTTTGATATCAGAGGGATTATTCATTATGAATTTGTACCAACTGGACAGTTAACCAAGTTTACTATTTGGAAGTGCTGAAAAGGCTGTGTGAAAGTTAGACAACCTGAACTTTTCACCAACAATTCATGGCTCTTGCATCACAACAATGCACCAGCTCACACGCCACTGTCTATGAGGGAGTTTTTAGCCAGTAAACAAATAACTGTATTGGAACACCCTCCCTACCCACCTGATCTGGCCCCCAATGACTTCTTTACCCAAAGATAAAGGAAATATTGAAAGGAAGACATTTGGATGACATTCAGGACATCAAGAGTAATATGACGACAGCTCTGATGGCCACTCCAGAAAGAGTTCTAAAGGGTGGACTAGGCGCTGGCATCAGTGCATAGCTTCCCAAGGGGAGCGCTTCAAAGGTGACCATAGTGACATTCAGCAGTGAGGTGTGTAGCACATTTTCTAAGATGAATTTGTGAAGCTAATTGTCGGAACTTGTAGATGGCTCCCCACATGGTGGGGTCTGAAGATGCTATAAACTTATTCACAATTTTTATTACAGGCCTGTCAGAGTGCCAATGACGTTTCCTCTATAGGTTAAAGCATTTTGGTAATTGAAAGGAAGATCTTGATTAGTTATTAAGATGGTTTTGTTTATTCCTCCCTTTAGTTCTCATTGTAACTTGGAACAGTTGTTTAAATATTGCTATTATCTGCCCCATTTCAATCCCACATTCCCAATCCTCCTACCCTGCACTACTTTTTATATTTTCTGTAACACTTACGATCCTCTCACTGCTAACGTGTATTTCTGTCGTGTATAGTTTGTCGTCCTGCCCTGCCCTCATCACCACAGGACGGGGATCTTTGTTTTGTTCGATTTATCCCAAGTACCTTCAAAAGTGCCTGGCACATAACAACTGCTCAATAAGTATTTGCTGAATTAATAGATCTGCCTAAATTAGAGACTACTACTCTTTATGGATTAACTCATTATAATTCTTTAGTCACAGAATGAAAATTTCAGGGTATCAGAACTTTTACTATGTTTCTTGAGGATAAAAAAACAGGACACAACCAATTATTACTTTTTTCTTTTTTTTTAAGATTTTTATTGGGGAATTGGGGAAAGGGGAACAGACAAGTTGCTGTCTTTTTGTTCTTCAGTCTAGTTGTGGAGGACGTTGCTTCACTAGCCCAAGTTGGCACCATCA